CGCATTAAATGGCATTTAGCTTGCAATCTTCTTCCACAAAAATTAAAATAGAAAGAGACACTGTTATTTGTCACAATATCTTAACTTTTACTTGCTGCATATTCTTTTTCCCACTATAGAGTGCTATATGAAATGAAACAACAGCGATGCTAAGACGTGAGTAAAGCTCGAGAGCACAGTTGGGTTTCGAACACGCGTTTATCGTTACCTGGGAATTTGAGTAACACCCACTACACCAACTATTCCACAGTTACCATACCCGTTGACGGCTAATTGCTGATAGCACCGATAGAGTGAAAAACATGGCTGAGACTAAGGAAAATCAGCTGTCATATTAGATGAATTGAACAGAAAATATTAGAAAGACTTCGACTGAGAACCGAGTAGGCGTCTGTTACACTCCGTGCTTGTATAATAAATTCACATATTACCGCAATTAAACCTGTCTATACGTTTAGTTCGAAATTCATTTCAATACTACGACTACGTTAGGCGCGGACAACCTAATTGTTAGTGATGCCGTGTTATACACGCAAAGTCCTTGGCTCGAGTTCACAATAAGCGACATTACGGAGAAAAGCGAAACATCATGTAGCAAATGGCACAAATCGGTAGACTTTCGACGATGGCAGAAGCAAAACATTGAACTGAATGAAAAAAGAATGTGAGTATAGAGGGATCCGAGCGGTACGCGGTCATACAAGAAAATAGGTAAAAAAAATTTGCCTGTGTGTCATCACTAAAAACGAATGAAACTAATATTTGTCTACTCCTCAACTTTACATTAAACTTTTAAACAGAGATAATCGATCGGGTGTTGGTTATCTATTGTGTTCTATTTTACCGCTCAACAACAATAAAGGATAGGGTAAGGATACATCTCTCGGCGTTGATCAGTCTCTGAGAAGTGTGTCATGTATTTGACTTCATTAAACATCATCAGAGGCTATTAAATGCATATCTCGCTTTTACGATAACCTGTAGTGATCTACCAATGTGTCGAGCCAGTGTTTCTATCCTCCCATACAAGTGTGGTGCCAATTTATCGACCTCGTAAGGATGGAAAGCTTGGGCCTTTACCACCCCCCCCCCCCCCCCCCCCTCCCTGAGCCAATACTATCTGTATTGCCGGGAGCCCCTAACCACCGCACTACACGCAACATCAACAACAATACGAAAGTCAAACAGTAGGAGTATTTCGTCGACAGGTGTGGGTTTTCCGCTTGTCGGTCGGCCTCTGGCGAAGATCGGTCGGTCGGGTGGTCGCAGCAGGTGCTCAACGTCGCCGAGTCGAACGGCCAGCCGGCGGCTGTTCACCTCGAGGAGCAACACGTCGGCCGACCTCACTACATCAGATACAACGTGTTTTTATAGCATTAGTGCTTCGGAAAACATTAAGTACAGTCGGAAATTGAATGGACAGAATAGAATGATTGACGAATAAATGATGAACAAAGCTGCTTCCATTTGTTTTTATTAAAGGGTCTTCATCATAGCCATTAAAACCTCGCGCTGTAGGAAAAAAAACCGTAGAATCTCAAGCCTTCCAGTTCTCACTACCTATGGAGAACAAAAAGATATTTCTGGTTATTGACCGCATAAATATTACTTCATAAGAACAGTGATTTATTGCATTCACTATAAGAAAAGGGGTTTGGGGGGAGCAGTAGTAGAAATGCAGTACAATGAGCAGACTATAACGACTCTACTGGTTCAATCCTGCCTCATGAAAACTAAACTTCTTATCCTTTCGAGGTTTGTAAATTGATACCACACTGATCTGGATGACTCTGCCTTTGGTTCACAATGGCCTATGACTCATTTCACAGAGGTCTCTGTGGTAGAAGCCTGGCAGTATTTCAGGACACCAAGGAGAATTATTCGACTACCATTCAACAGCATGCATAAAGAAGGCCAAAAATCTTTAAGTTCAAAGAACCGTTGGACTTACATTCAAATTCGAAGTGCTTCATGGATAATGGATGTAAAACTACGAACTGAATGAAAAAAGTGCTGGAGTCTAGACAATGAGTGACGTCGCCTCACATGAAAAAAAAATCAGAAAGCATAATTCTCTTTGGTAAATTTATAGTGATAGACGGAACGATTGGGCAGAATTGACACCAAAAGTGACAAAATCCTAGTAATTCACGACCGAGGAGAATTGGAGCTTACTACAAAGTCTTAACATTTGGAATCTGCCATAAACAATGAGCTGAGGAAACCATCGGTGAACCGACCTGGTCAGTGGTTTTTTTTGTAATAAAGATAGCAACAATGTTTTTTAAAATCGACCTCGTGTTAGCCTGCTAGTGGAAAAAATACTTTTTGATAGCAATTATCTCGTCAACATTCATAGACTTTGTTGACATAAGGCATCACTGTTGTAAACTAGCTAGGAAACAGGGAAAATACTGATGTGCAACCACTAGGAAACCCAGATACGAGTAGAACTCCGTTGTTGGGGTGGATGACACGTAGTGAGCCCCTAGTAGGGAAAATCGCGACTTAGAAGCACAACTAAGGTTCTAAGTTTTGCTCATACCTTAGCATCTTTATGGTTGTATTTCACGCTGTACCTTGGCATGAAAAACTATGAGGGAGAAAGAGAAAGTTAGGACAATGCTGATGCAGAGTACATAATGAAATATCGACTAACTGATAGTTAACAGTAATTTGTTAACTCTAGACAGGTCTACTAAAACCACAATCAGTAGATGGTCGGATATTCTTAAAATACAATCGCTGTCGTTTAAATTGACTACCCAAGCTTCTGAATATTCTTTCTCCTTCTCCCTTAAATTGCAGTATGAAATTCTCGTTGTTGAAAACACGTGATTGGTGTAGCTTTAGTGTTTCCCCAAACCATGATGGACAGATTTCTACGGCGTCACTCCAAAGACCAGAAAGAACGAAAATCCAAAACTACATAGATGTCTTGGTGAATTTTTTTATGAATGTTTCATTTGAGCGCCCCATACTGCTTTGAAAAATATAGTGTTAGTCTTAAAAATTTTATGAAGTCAGAGTTTTGTTTAGTTTCTTCTTTTGGGTAAAAGTAGCGTGGTAAAGAAATCATGGAATTTCTCCATCTTTTCTCGACTTAAAACTAATCGTGAAAGCTTTGCGCTCTTAAACTGTTTCTGGAAACACATGAAAATCTAGTTACTCGAAATTGGCAAAGTCTGATGAGTACACCAGGAACCTAGGGATTCTCATCAAAACGCACCAGAAAAACTTCTTCATCAGTCAACTTGTGAAGTCCATATCTCGGAGTTATACAGGGAGCACGACAAGGCCTTCTTGCCATCATTCTCATGTCGGTCATTAGCCCCGTATTGGCAGGCCCTTGATTATCGAGAGTTTACCTGCGTGATTCACATCCATTGCCAAGGCCTCGTCTTCAGTTACATTCTAGAATTTGCTTGTGAGGTCTGAGAATAAAGTTAAGAAAACAAGAATTTTCTTGTGGGGTCGCTTAGAAGAAGCAGTATTCAATTTGGTGGAATCTCTTCGTAGATGACTTTCCCTAGATGCCAAATTATAGAGGAATAACTGTAGACGACGGCTGCTGACATTTCGAAAGAAGTGAAGTAGCGTTCGTCTAAGAATAGGAAAGGCTTCGCGTTTCGTCGTAGTTCAGTTTACGACGACAGTTTAATTTCGAGCAAGTTCTTAGCTGACCAAGAGTGCTTGAGTTGTCAGGGAACATCAACGTGATGAATGGCACATGCTTTAGAAGAGCGGCGTGTTTTTGAAAGCAGTAGAGAGGACCATTTAACAGATGGTGCTACAAGTCAGGCCTGATATTTGGTCAATTCCTGTACTATCTATTGGGAATATTCCAGAATATGTAGTCTTTCTTTGATAAGCTTACACGAGGTTGATAAATATGTTTATTTTCGACTAACGTCTCGACGTCTTCGTCTTCATCAGAGCTGATGATCCGAGTCGATGGTCCACACTTGTTGTTCGTCTCGATGCGGTGCCTTCGCCTTCGTGTAGATTTAGGTCTTCCTCAGCTGGCCATCTCCTCGAATGAGGCATATTCACTCGGTTATGCCCTTTTATCCAAACGCTAATGGTGGATAGTCGTGATTGTCTGGTGACAGCAGCTTTTTTATTCCAGACAATCCACCCTGCAGAAGTCGGTATCAATATGAGTATGAGTATGCCTCGTTCGAGATGGCCCGCTGAGGAAGACCTAACTCGACACGAAGGCGAAGACGCCGCATCGAGACGAACAACAAACGTGGACCTTCGACTCGGGATAATCGGCTCTGATGAAGACGAAGACGTCGAAACGTTAGTCGAAATTAAGTATATTTATCAACCTCGTATGAGCCTATCAAAGGAAGAATACATAATGATTGGTTACGCCTTGGTTAAAGGAAAGTCGCTTTTGAAATATTCCAGAATATGTTCGTCATTTCTTAAGTTTCGGTAAAAAAAATTAAATCTACATTTAAGTTCTTATAGGTAGTTCAAAACAACCTAGTCGTTAAAACTACATATCCGACTATTCCAGTCCTTTACAACCGTTACGCATAGTTCGCTAAGCAATTTAAAAACTTTTTAACCGAAAATATGTGTCTATTCGAAGAAAGTTGCAGTGTACGGTAGCAGACTACGGCGCTGCCGTGGCGTACACGATCCCTGGCTAAACTGTCTTTAAGTCTGCCTTCAGCCAGCTCATCTATTAAGCACCAAATTCCTTCAGATTTATTTTGAAAGGAGGAGAACACTTTTTTCGGTAATGAGCTTCCGTGTTACCATAGAAGATTTTAATCGTGTTCAGGACTTCGTGCAGTTTACGAATTGAAGAGAACTGTTGTGTGACTGTTCAATAACAAAAGTTCCTTGATCTCAACAAAACAACTAGTTGCAACTGCACTGGAATCGCCATCCATTACTCATCATCTGTTGCGAGAATTCAATAGCATCGATTACTAGTAGTAACATAAGTAGTAAAAGACGAGAGTAAAAAACGGCTGAAAAACCTATCGTTGTTCAGAGTCCAGAGTCATAACTGATGCCGAGCAATCAGTTGCTTGGTCCTACAGCGAAAATAAAAGATTTTGTGTAGGATGAATGCACAATGCGGTATGACGTGGCGTCTAGAAGTAGTGAGAGAGCGATGAAAAAAAACAGATGTGTAGCAAGAAGAAGAAGTGGGTCGTAGCGAAAAAAGAAAATGAAGTAAAGAAAGAACGGATGGAAGCGGTCAAAGGAAAGAACACTTACGTCAAGAATAGTTTTCGTTTGCGGTTCCTCGAAGAATTCCTCGTACTCGAGTTCATGATCTTTCGAGGTGGACGGTAGATTGAGATCCGATACACTAAGACCTGAACAACAGTATTCAACGCTAAAAGGAACTGTGCAACGGATTCTTGGTAGTTGCAAGTATTGTTCACATACAGCATTGAAATCCCATCAAAAACAGAACAGACATAGTTTTGAGTTAAATAGCCATTCTTCAATGCACTGATCAACTAGCGCTCAAATGTCACCAATCGTTCCGCAACAAGCATTTGTATTTTGTGTGAGGAAAAACTATCAAGACGTCGATAATGCAGTATTTATCTTTAATCCCTCAAGGATGAGGACACGGGTGTAGCGCAGTGGCTAAAGGTGCACTGTAATAGATATTTTCTCTTTGGTTCGACGTTGCCCGCACAATCAACGAAGCGTTTCGTCCTTGCCAGATCGGAAAATAGGTACCAGACTCGTCTAGGAAGATAAAAAACTGAGCTGGGACATCGGTAGTTTACCGCAATTCATCGTACTGGCCAGATTTGCAATCAATAAGCTAGACGAAGGGTGCGTATAGCGCAGTGATTATAGACGCCTCGCAATACACATAGGAGCGATCCCACGCCCCAGGCTCACCAAGCTTTTCCTCTCTCCGGGGTGGGCAAATCGCTGCCCGACCGGTCTAGGAGGATATCAGCACTGAGTCAGCGTATACACCAGAATCAATCACCTCTAACGATGTTTAACGAAGTCGAATGCATGGTGCATCTTTCAAAAATTCATCAACGATGAGATCTTCTTTTAGCTTTAGCCCTTACAATGTTATGAATAAAAAGCAAGGCGGATTCCCTGGGTATTAATCAGCACCGAATGCATTGTCCTTTTATTCTTCTAAATCTCAGTAACTAACGCTTCGTTCTCTCCAAACCCTCTTCAAAGAGACAGTTTTTGTGTGTTGTTTTATCCATCTCCTCATTCCCACTTCTAAAACCGAATTTCATTTTACAGCGGCACAAACAGGCGATACTTTCTTATATTATAAAGTTAACGCGAGGTTGGTAAAGAAGATCTATTCGCCTGGTGCGCCACTCTCGTCTTCTTCAAGACCCTGACCGATTCAAGTCCATGTTCCACAAGTGGTCGTATTCTCAATGTGAGACCTTCGTTATCGAGTGGAGCGTAATCCATACTGAACGCCATCAGGTCAACCGTACACCCACAAAGGAACACCACCGATATGGTTTCTTCATTCGAGCGGTGCTTAACCGGTCGCATTGAAGTCGACGCCGCAACGAAGATCCAACAATGCTAGGACGACCGACTGACGATTCCTATTAATCTGGCTTTAAAAAACAAAGAGACATCGAAATGTTAGCTGAATAAAACTGCTCACCAACCAACCTCGTGTTAGCTTAATCATCCCAGAAACTATCTGTTCGGCTGATTTCTTTCACCAAGTAGAAAAAGCATAAAAAGTTTCTGAAGGGGGCTAAATCTGCAGAAACATTAGACTCATTGAGAACAAAAAATATTCCATCAATAGTTTCTCATCTGCATTTCAAGAACCCTCAAATTATTGACGTTATTGATTGATGGTTTAGTTTTCTGATCAAGGCTAATATATCGCATCTACTATGAAGTTGGTCATGACAAGTATTAATAGGCTTACTGTACTACTTCACATCTGGTATTTACAATCATATTTAGAAATCTTAGTGCCTCGTTCCTTATTTTCTTATACTATCATTTTCTTGACTTATTGATTAGCCCTCTAAAAGTCACGTCATTACTTTTGGAATGTAGAGTTGAGCAAGTTTACGCCCGATTGTTATATCTAGCTTTACCAAGAGACAGAAAGATTACACGTCCTAGCAAGAGCTAAACTTGGGACGTTTTTCTTTCTCAAAGTCTAAGTCAACCCGAGGTTTGATTTCCATGTTCTCACATCAATCAAGGTTTTCAAATACAAATTCTCTTTAAAGCCGACAGTTGACTAGAAAACAAATCTCAGTTTTCAACAGTTTTCTCGCCTGCACTTTTAAGCGTCAGGAGGCATTGGCTATGCTTTTTTGCTGTCGTCCTCAAATAGTAACAAAAACTAAGCCATAAATTTTTGTGTTAGTCACTTCATGAAAAATTACGCTTTCAAGACATGCATGTATAATTTATCTGTGCTATATACCTATAAACGGTTTACCGCCTCATCATAACTGGGAGATGTTTCTGGGTGTCGGCTGCGATGCACAGCGGGGTGATTCGTCTCCCCGGCAGGGTCTCCCAAACTGAGAAGGAGTCCGGCGTTTCCATCAAGAAGCCTAGCTAAGGGTAAACCAATACCAGGATCCACTACCGTTCTGGCATCAAACTAGTCGCATGATGGCAGGTCTACCTCAGATCCACAAGTGTGGCGGCTGTTTGTGATGGCGACGACCTGAGGCAGACTTTGGCCAGGCCATCCTTGGGACTCCAGAGAACCACAGTGACCAAACTTCCAAGTTTCCGGAGAATAGAAATTATGCTGGAGCTCGCACAACCAGTGAAGAGGGGCCATCCAAGTAAGTACGATTTGATGAAGTACTTGACGAAATTCAAAGAATTAGCGCAAAGAAAAGTAATGCCTAGTGCTCGATGATTTCATTTCGCTGCTCGTCAACCGTTTCTTTATGCTAGTCATTTTTAAAGGATTTTTTTCAATCAGCACGTGTTTCTGTCGGAAAAGATTTGAAAACAGGTAACACATTACTGTAACATTTAGTCGTAAGTTTTAAAATTTTCAGGCTCTGTGCTCTTAAGCGATGAGCTGAGAATAAATCTATCAAACCCTGGACATAGTAAATGTTCGCTTATTGATTGCCACACTGTGGCCATCGATATGTTTTACCATGATGCAACTAGAGACAAATCATGCGTATTGATTACATAGCGGTCAAGTTGTGATCAAGCCAACGAATATTTATTGAACTAAAGTTTGGCCGTGATGATTGTAAGCAGGTAACTATAAAATGACAATAGACGCTATATAATGCTAATATCACATTTCTATGCGGCCATAATCTGCTTGTATAAACCGCATATTTGGTCAATAATTTCTTAGCAAGTATTTTTTCAAAAAATCGATTTCGGCCCAATATCGGCCCGAATAATCGTCATGGTATTTTAATGACAAGCTTAGATAAGCTTGAACGAGCTTAACAGGAAACGGGTCTCCATTCAGTGAGGTGCAACTTAAAACGGTCTAGAATTTTCTACATATCCCGCAAAGTGGCAGTAATGTAGACGCCTTTTTCGAGTCATTTTTACGACCTTTAAGATGCTGATATGACTGGAACACTAACGACAATAAATATTTCATTGTCAAAATCGTGTAGGCTTTTCAATAAGTTGATGCATTGATCTCTTATATCTTCGCAACAATCAAGAACTCTAAATAGGCTATGAAAAACATTTCTGACCAAAACGACAATAGTCAGTGCATAACATGACATAATATTAGGATTGGATGGACCACAAAAAGCTCAATGAGCATTATCACCTTACCGACTCGTGTTCCGTTTTTTTTATAGCACACATCTGCTTCGTCGGGTGCTCGACGGACCAACGTACTTCTCCACTTGCGGATTGTGTTCGTCTTACGATCACAAATCCAACCCCAGATTTTCTGCATGTTTTCCCTGAAGACGCAACTTAAATCTCTAAACTTGCGAAATGGGGACAGCGGACTCACTTCATTTTCCTGGGTAGCCGTCGATTAGGGTATGGAGGGTTGGCTAGCCAATAGCGGTAAGCGTACTGTTGTCAGAGAACAAGTTTAGCGATGCCAATGGTGAATGATGTGGATCAATTTCGGATCATAATAAATGTTTATGAGGCAATTATCTTAATCTCAAACAACATTGAACACATCCAGACACAAACACACTGAGCCTGAGCCACCAGCCAGACAGAACAGCCAACCAGCCAGCCAGCCAGCCAGCCACTGAGATCCCGACTACAACACACGCTCAGCCAGTAGTCTCTTATCACTAATCGATAGTTGCCTCCGGCAGCTTTTCGTCACACGCACACACACTTCACAACTTCGTCGACGAGTCGACCGAGTGCTGCAGGTGATCGAGTGATGACAAACGACGCAACTGCTTACTCAGATTATTATTTGTGACTTTACTTTCAGTCTTGATGACGGCATAGTAATCATATAATCAGTTGAGATTGGGAAAGTCACGGTAGGTTGAGAATCGTTGCGTCCTGCCTAGCGGTATTAGATTTCATTTTTGTATTACCTCAGCTGTGGTTCATTCTCTAGCATTGCCGTGGTCGTCGTTAAAATTGTATGCCATAATATAATGATTAAGATCCTTATAGAAACTCTTAACGATACGTGAGCCCCTGAAAAGGGAGTAATCGTGGTTCGATCTGCCCGAGGTCCAAGTTTTGCGAATAACTCAGCATCGTTGCGGCTGTATTTCAAATCATACCCTGCCGTGAAAACTATAGTAGGGAGCATATGAAAGGTTAATATTGTGATTACGACTACAGCGTTAGCTTAACTGCGTTCAATGACGATTTGTGTTACCCAGATCAATCTCGCTGACGGGTGATTGCTGATGGCAGTGTGAGGCGGAAAACTAGTAAAGAGAAACTTTTCAAAATTTTGCAAAAAATGGGATGCAAGGCATAATTGGTGTGCTAAGAAACCTGTACGATTATAGTATCGCTAATAGCTAAATATAGCTCGGGTTGAAAAGCCAGCTTTTTAATATACTGAGAATTGTTGTAGGCATTTTCTACAAGTAGATGCGTGTAGCACAGTGGTTAGAGGTGCCTTGCAATACACATGAATTCTATCCCGTGCCCCAGGCTCACCAAGCCGCCCATCTCGCCGGAGTCGGCAAATTCACTCCAGACTTGTTTGGGAGGACAGCAGCACGGACGCGATACATCGGCAAGCCAACGTAAGTCAGTGTGTGAGCTAGATACCCATTCATTCACCCTCATCGATGAGTAGTAATGCCAAATTTATGGCGGATCCCTCAGGAATTGGGCAACGACGGGAGCTTTATTCTTTTTTATTTTATACTCTACAAGTGCAGCCATGAATATCTAAGAGCACCTATCGCGTGCAAGAGCAACATCTACCGCATCGATGGCCCAGCCGCTTCGTGTTGGACGTTACAATCTACCATGACCTAACGCAGACAGTGCTCATTCATTGTTTCAAGTCTTACAGAATGAGAATGAGAATGACATCAATGCGAATCCGAACGCCACCGCTCGCAAATTAGTGATGACACCTGTGTTGACTTCTAGCAACTATCCGGACAACCATGAAACCTCTTGTCGATATGAACAGCAGAGTAACTGTGCTCTGACAAAGCATTGCCTGAGTTGTTATTTCATTTCTTTATTTACGTACAAGCAGATGTTTCGGCCGATTTCGCTTTCTTCAGAGATTGGAAAGGGCGTGATGTTGGCAATCTACTTAGCCAAACACCTCAATATCCGAACAGAAAAAAAGCTAAGCCGAAATTTCAATCACATTGAACACAGAATAGCTTCTTTGCACACTCATCGCCCTCTATGAGTCTTCCACTGAATATACCACGTGGAGACTAAGCGCACAGCATAAAAGCGTGATGTACTCCTCATGTCAGAGCAGCAGGTAGATTGAGATCAAATTGACCTTCTCAGGCTCTGTGGAGGACGAAATCCGCCGAAACGTCAGCGTGAGCGTTAATAAAAAAGTGGAATAACATTTCATGTTTGTTAAACAACATTATTAAAAAATGTTCGATAGCTGAGTGTTTCAGCGGGTCGCTGAATAATTGTTTGTCCAGGATTTTCCTCTGAAATAAAATTTTACTGAAAAATAAGCTCTTCTCTACTGTTGTTATAAACTAGAAGCATTGCTTTAGTGAGATGTCCCACATTAGTTACCGTCGTTATGTACTGGCAATCAATCTCAGAAGCTGGTCAATCCTGAAAACCAGGTTCCCAAGCGCAACGATGTTTTTGAGATTTGACTGCGATGCTGCGCACCAATCAGCACATTCTATTTGCTCATTCCTAGTATTCCTAGGTGTTGGAAATGAAGAACCACCTGTTGGATTAGGTTGTTAAGCACAACGCGAAAATGACATTGGCCGTTTTTTCGCTTCGAAGTTGTCAGAGCTCTGGACAAAAGGTATTGAGCAATTCTGTTAGGAGAGTGAGATAGACAGCTACACTATTTTCACTATGGAATGTTTTTTTAGAAAAGGGTTATCAAATTTGGGTAGAATTTGCCTACGGCGCTGCAGTTTCTTCGAGAAACTAATATTTCTTGAAATTTTATTGGTAAGAGTGAGCACAAAAGTGCTGAAAACAAGCTATTGCGTAGCGAACCCCACGGCTTCGCTTTGTGCTCCCTCTGCTTTCACTGGGCTTCAAGTTAATGGTACCACGCAAAACACGTCCAACCTTTGCTTCTACGATTGTGTTCCAGTGTAACGAAAGATCTCATGAAATTACGATATAATGGAATAGCCAGGAAATTTGATAAATTACAGCAGTCTATGCTCACAGATTGAAGCTATCCAATACGGAAACACATATGTTAGATATTTGATATAGTAAGTTTTCAAAAGAAGGCAAATCGAGAACATTTTTGTTTCAAACGAAATTGTATCACCCACCATTCTGTTGTTCGATGTTCTGTAGATGACACAGAAATTATATGGGCTTCAAGCTTCAAACTGCTGAAGCTTCAAAAACTGTCTGGAAACGTAATGAGTGATGTAGTTTATTGAAGTCTGTTAAAGCACTCTACGTTCAATTATGTATGGTACACACCAGGGTAAAATTACAAAACAGTGAAGCATTCGCCAATCTCTGAGAGATTTTTCATGCATTTGACTTTATCAAACATCGTTATAGGCGATTAAGAAAATATCTAGCCTATAAAGTGTCTTGCAGTAGACAATCGATGTGACGAATCAGTGCTGCTATCCTCCGAGATCAGCCTAGTACCAGTTTGCTGACGTTGGAGGGAGAATACGTTTGGTGGGCTAGAGAAGAGGGATTGAATCAGGCACCGATCCGGTACGTACTGCAGGACACATCTAATCACTGCGCTACAATTCCCTACGTTTTGTTATGTGATCTTAAACGCATTGTCAGTATTGTCAACAGAATAGATTTACACGGTGAGTATGAACAATGCGTACCTAATTGCCTTCTAAGATGAATGTCATTGAATACTGGTCGAGTCGATCATCCCTGGAGTGGTAAGATGGTCGGGCTAGAGCGCTCCCACTTGGATTACAGAAGGTGAACTTTTTCCGGACAAATCCAGTTCCAATTTCATAATATCAGAGGGATGAGAGGCTTGGCGAGCCCGGAGCGAGATCAAACTGGCGTCGTGCACGTGTCACTCTTTTTGTTTTCACAACGACTTTATTCAAAGAGATAGAGCAACAATTAACCGCCAAATAACTTCAAGAAATAGATGCCATCAAAAATATGGCACAGAAATGCACTTGAGATGAAGTTATACATAGTTCATAAAGCGAGAACAGAAATATTCTTCGATTGAGTGGTAAGCTAACACGAGGTTGTTACAAAACTATGAGAACACCAATGGTCATCCAATACAAAGATGATCAAAATGAAAGGAAAGATGAACAGGAATGGATGGCTATCGATACGTCTTCTACACTTTTCATTAAAAAGGAGAGCAAAAAGATATATTTACCGTGTGAGACATCTAGAAAGACATAAAGATCATGGAATCATTGAGCATTCTAAACGCAAATTACTGCCTAACTTGTTAAGTGTAAAATCCAGCGATTTTCACAAGTGTGTTAAGGCTCTCTCAATAGATTTCATCATCAAATAACGAGCTTTTGATCACTCGGTAGCATGAATTGCATCTACATAAATGCACTTTTCACTGATGCACTACTGCGCTATTCCTTGTTCCTAGCTCTTCATTGACATCAATGACACATTCGAAAAATTTTGCATTGTGTTCCTTTGTTGCATTGGATTCGAAGCTTCGGATATTCAATGTGAGCCGAAGGCACTATTGCAACATTTGTGTGCAAAGACGAATCCTTATGGAGTCACTTACATGCCTCAAATGAAGGATTCGAAGCTTCGGATATTCAATGTGAGCCGAAGGCACTATTGCAACATTTGTGTGCAAAGACGAATCCTTATGGAGTCGCTTACATGCCTCATATGAAGGATTCGAAGCTTCGGATATTCGATGTGAGCCGAAGACACCATTGCAGCATTTGTGTGCAAAGACGAATCCTTATGGAGTCGCTTATATGCCTCATATGAATCAGACCCTACCGCTACACTAAAGGCTGATGCCTTCATGAGACAAAATTATACAAATTATATAATTTTGTACTGTGAAAGCGATCTCAGCTAATTCCTTAAATGAAGCTTGTTGTGCTTTCAAGGACGATAGTTCCGGTCTAGAATTGACTGTTTGAGATACAAATGCTATCAAAATATAGTACACTTCAATCATCTTCTTACCTTCACTAGCACGACGCATTTTGAATTCCTTCTTTTTGTAAGCACCTTAAATGCTTTTAGGCAATGAATATGTTTATCTTCTCACTCGTAACTGCATTCATCCTACAAATGATCTGAAAACATAAATGGAGCACAACG